TCACCATTGGCCCTTTTATGGGTCCAGCCTTTGCTGCATTTTGTCTCTTAGTACATAGTGTTAGCCTTCCATTACTATGGCTTTCAGAGCCTTATCACCACCCTGATTGGGAACAGTAAGAAATGTAACTGGGAAAAAAAAAGTAACTGGTTTTGCTACTTAAATTCCTGACGTTTATGGAAGGTCTTTTCTCCTGTTGACTTCCTTCCACTTCTTATCAAATACTAATGGATTTCTTGATTGTATCTTACAGGGAAGAGCTAACATTTGAGATGCTTATACTGGAACCCCGTGCCTCTGATGATGAAACCCTTGAGTCTGAGGCCTCCATTGGGACTGCGGATAGCTCAGAAAACTTAAATATTGAGTCTGAAGGTGCCATCTCTGAGAAATCAGGTAAATGAACACATTAGTGCAAAGGAGGATTAAGGATTCCCAAGTTAAGACAGAGTCTTAAGGAGTTGGAAAATAATGATCTTTGTGAAGCTTTTATATAAATTATTCATTAGATGAAGCCTTCAATGTAATGTAGCTTTTGGTAATTTAATGTTTTCTCTAGTATTTACTTTGCCAAAGAGAAAAGCCAATAATCACAACAATGTTGTCCTACTGACCCATGATCCATTTTCTAAGAGTGGGTAGTTTAAAATGACAGTGACAATTGTAGGCATCTTCTAATGGCATAGTCAAATCCCAGACTTCATTGGAGTTGATTTTGAAATGATGTGTGTAGAAATGGATGGTGAGCTCTTTTTGAGTTATGTGTGTGCACAAAGTAGTTTAGCCTGGACCCTCCAAATCTAGCTCACCTCATTTCACGTGTGAATAGTCATGCCTGTTCATTATATAATGATATGCTTTCGAGGGAACTGTCATTTACAGCTTTGGTCTCTTCTCTGGATTAGAGAGAAGCTTGGCTCTTAGCTCCCTGAGGGCAGCCTGTTCATTATATAATGATATGCTTTCGAGGGAACTGTCATTTACAGCTTTGGTCTCTTCTCTGGATTAGAGAGAAGCTTGGCTCTTAGCTCCCTGAGGGCAGCCTGTTCATTATATAATGATATGCTTTCGAGGGAACTGTCATTTACAGCTTTGGTCTCTTCTCTGGATTAGAGAGAAGCTTGGCTCTTAGCTCCCTGAGGGCAGCTGGCAAGTCTGCACCTTCTAGCAAGTTGAGAAAGCAGCTAAAAAAGCAGCACGACTCTTTGGATTCAGTGGACTCTTCAGTCTCTTCTCATGGGACCAGAAAACGATTTCAGATTTATTCCAAATCTCCATTCTACCGAGCTGGCTCAGCTGGTGAGGCCCTGGAAATGGAGGGACCATTGGGCCTGACCAAATCCCTAGAAGACAGACCTCAGTTCATCAGCAGAGGAACCTTCAACCCTGAAAAGGGCAAACAAAAATTAAAGAATGTGAAAAACTCACCTCAGAAAACCAAAGAGACCCCAGAGGGGACCGTGGGGTCTGGCCACAGGAAAACTGTGGACCCAGACTGCAGCTCCACCCAACAGCCAGCTCTCTTTGGAAATAATGAGTTTATGGTCTGAACTAGCAGATGTATATTCCTTCATAGCTGCAGAGTAGTAAACACATCTCATTTTTAGGCCTCTTCTCATTGCCTCATCCACAATAGTCCATTCTAAGTGAGGTCCAGCCTCTTTCCCAAGCATACAACCAAGACCTGGTATGCTAAGTTCCTGGACCTCCTGTGGACGTGGAAAGGCCTCTTTGAAGCCTGCCGGGATGGTGCCAGCTGTGCCTTGGCTGCAGTATTTGACCAGAGATTTCACTAACAAAGCCACCTAGCTAGGACTTGGGGATTTGGGTCAGTCGTGGAGGTCTTTGTAGTTGCCTCTCTTCCATCCTCTTTCCAGAGGTGGGTGTGGAACTGGTGAGCACATTGTGAGCCTGAGGGGCGCGTTGATTTCTGGCCTTGGAAGAAAACATGTAAATCTTTCTTAACCATGTAAGCAAAAGCCTTTCAGTTTATTTTGGGATAGTTAGGAGCTGGGGTAGAATATACTCCCCCCCACCCCCCAAGGATTTATAAAAAAAGGCTAAGCTCTCTATTTTAAGATTTTTTTGAAAAACACTTCATGTTATATTCTGGGGAAAGTAAAAAGGCAATTGTTTCCATTAAGCCATCAGAGCATGTCCCAGACCTCTGGTTACACAATGCCCAGAGATATGGTGAACACTAAACATGAGGGTTTCACCCTAATCCATCCACGCTTTTCTCTTTGTGTATTAAACTGAAGATCACATATTCATCTGCTGGTAGATTTCAACCTAGAACTCAAAGACAAATGACCATTTAATCAATTCTCTCAAAACATTCAAAACACAATACTACATGAATAAGTATTACAGAAAGCTGCCAAAAAATAAGAGAGAACTTTTTCAGATGATTCATTTAACTTATTTTTTCCTCAGACCATCAGTATTAAATAGACTTTTTTTTAAATCAAGGACTACTTGAAGCTACTTTTGTTAATATTCTGGTTACTGGCGTTTACTGTAAATATAAATGTATAGTATGCATATTTCTTTTTCACCTTATGCTTCCCTCCTCCCATGGAATTTCTTCCTAAGATGAGGGATCATTGGACAGGGAGGTGAGAGCCACACATCCCTGGGTTGAGGGACAAGTCACAAGTCAAACCATCTTCACCACTAGGTGTCTCCATACACCTGAGTTATAATAGCATTTTAAGCTTCTTAGCATCAGTAGGATTCGAAATCTATTTCTGCTATTTATATAATATATGAGAAATGAAAGATGCTCCTCTTTCTTGAGATAAATATGTGAAAATGTTTATTTTTAAAGTTACTAAATGGATCTTGTCTAACTACCACATGCACTGTTACCGGAATTTTGGTTATTCTTCCTTTTAATGCTTCTTGAATTTGAAGTTACAGAACTATTAAGACATGTTAAGGCAGTCTCTCCTGTTACATGACACTGAACCTCATGCCACTGCCAAAGTGGTGGTTGTCGGACTCCAGAGATGAGACTTGGAACATCATTCTGAGTGGCAGCTAAAGGCAGCAGGAGTCTTCTCTGTCCCTGGTTTGGGTTCCAAAATGACCTAGGAAAACGGATCTTTATAAATCCCCAGAATGATGATGGTTAGTGAATAAATGTTCCATTTTATATACCCCACAAACATCTGCCACATTGTCCAGGCTGTCCTGAGGAGTCATAAGTAAAGCCTTTAAAAATCTGAATTTCGGAAAGTTTCCCAGAGGAAAACCTAATTCATCCCCAGCATGGCTGTGTGAAAGTGGGATTGCTGCTGCCTTGGCGCCGCTGCCAGACTGCAGGTCTGTGTCAGTGTTCTTGGGAGAGTAGCATTCTGCTGGGCATGACTGCTGCTCTTCGCTTGCCAGGCATTGGTCAATACCATACAAAAGGAGAGGACCCTTATTGCACAGTTTCCTTTGGCCCAGAGGAATGGCCTGCAGAACACATCTTGGCATGTTCTAAATTTTCGTGGATTTTTATTGTTTTTGCAAAATAAGTTTTGGCAATTAAAAAACAACTCATATAGGAAATTTTATAGGAACTTGACAATGGATGTTAAGAGACTTTATAATTTTTCTCAGGGACTTGAAACCTGAATTTGGATAAAGTTAAATAAAAAATATTGCTTTTCAGTTGCTAGATTTGTGGATTTCTGGTCATTTAACAAGCTGCCAGAATGGAGGGTGGTAGGGAGGAGAGAGCCACACAATTGCAAAAATGCAGAGCAAGTGTGGGACCCTCCCTTTGAAGGAAGGAAAGCTGCTCTTCTCATGGGATAATAGGTGTTGTGGGCCTGATACAGAGATGATGCCATAACTCTCAAAAACTGTCAGAACCAAGTGTTCTGTCTCCCTCCATTTGATCTTAATTGGTTCTCTCCCTGGTTATGTCACCACAAAGTGATGCTGTATGCATTGCAACCACTTATGATTAAGATATTTAACCTTAACACATGTGTCACATCTGTATTTCCTATTGCTTTGCATTTTTACTTTGATCTCAAATGCCTCAAAGAAAATGCCTGCATGGCAGCAGCAGGATGGCCCCATACTTGGAGCCCATACTCCAAATTGAAGAGCATTCTGTTCTCTCACACATTCCTGGCCCCAAACAAAGCCTGGATTTCAATTTTCCCCAGTGAAACCAGCACATCCCTTATCATGAAAAATGTTATAGCATCAAAAAGTCTAATTTGGATCACATTGGGTGCCACAAAGTGAAGCAAATGATTATAACAGCAAATACAGGAAAGGTTCAGGGAGGTGGTATGCTTAGTTTGTAATGCACTTTGTATTTCCTGCCATTTTAATTGTTTTCCCACTCTGGGCTTCTGAAAACACTAGGGGAGGTACGCCTTCCCTGTTGGAGCCTTGCAGAGGCAAGGGACCCAGGTCAGGGAAGGGGATATCAGAGCCCTGCCTTCTCATTCCTCAGAAACCAGCTGCAGCTCTCCACTCACCTCTGCTGGGAGGTTAGAAGAGGCTTCCCTGTTCTATCATGAGAGGGTTTTTTCACTGTCAGACAAAGGATCCCAAAAACCTGCTGAAAAGAGGAAGTCCAGCGAAGTGCTGCAGGCCCCCTTCAGTGCCTGTGGGCCTTGGTGTTTTTAAAATTGTAACTAATGACTGTGTACATTTCACAAGCACTTTGGTAAACCAGAGAGAAGAAAGTATTCTCAGGATGTGTTCAAAGCTAAGAGTTTTAATTTTAAAGAGAAACACAGTCCAAACAGCTTTCCTCATCCTCCTCTCCTTTATTTTCCCCTTGACGGGGAGCTGGATATGGGACATGCATCATTCTGTGTTGAAAAATGCATCTGTCACCCATAATTTTGTGATAACTTCTCAGCCTTGTTCCCCAACACCATGCTAACCTTGGTTGTAAAATTCCTCGGTATTTGTGGGAGTCCTTTGTCTTTCCTAAGCCCCTAAAATACTTTTAACCACTTTTTTTCTGGAACCATTCCCACGTTTGATTTGGTGTTCAATAATAACAGCAAAATGATGAGTGTGGACATGGATCTATTAGGTTTTGTTGGTCTCTTGGTTGAAACTTTAAAAAAAAAAAAAAAAAAAAAAAGCCCCACCACGGGGCCTATCACCTTGCTATCTGTCCATACTTAATACCTATTTATCACTCTTCTTAGGTCAAATAAAAGTTGCACCTTTTGAACCATGTAATTGTATTTAACTAGGGGAAAGGTGTATACTACAGATTAGTATTATATTATTTTAATGGGTTTAAATAATTTATAAGTATGCTGAGTGTAAATTTTTAAAAGACTGTATTGTAAAAGGACATATCCTGTGAAATATATTTTACTGTTAAACAGAATAATTCTATAAGAAGAATGATTTATCTCACCCACGGAACTGATTACATTCCTAATACCATCACCAGGCGCTTTGTAATTTCCCTTTGCTTTTGGGGAGTGTGGGGGAGCAAGGTATCATCTGTATAGAGTCCAGTTTGTGTCACTCAAGATATGCGCTGTGTGGCTACACAAAAGCAGCTTGATGAACAAATCACTCCAATGGCTCATTAAAGAACAAAAGCTTCCAGAAGCGGCAATACGTGTGGTTTGTTTTCTGACCGTCCTGGCTCCCACCCCAACTCGCTCCATCTTGATCCCAAGGAACAACAGTGATTTTTGTTAAAGTGATTTTTCTCTTTTTCAAGGAAAGGACTGAGCCCGCAATTGACAAAGTGCTGAAGTAGTAGTTATTGGAACTCAACTGAATTCAAGTAAAGGTGAGGTGCAAGCTGTTAGTTTTTGTAATAGGTGCTAGCTGTTAAGACCTCATTGACTCAGGTTAGGGCTAGCTGGGTAGAGCAGGTAGTGAGTCTACGTTTAGGATCCTCACCAAAAAGGCCATGTAGAAGTAGCAATATCTGCTAATAGAGGGCCCAATTCTAGTGTGTCATGTTTGTTCTACCACTATATGCATGACTGGGCAAGTCATTTGTCCTTTCTGGATGTTAATTTTCCTATCTTGCCCAGGTGTCATTCTCTGGATAACTCCTCAGGTCTCAGAGTAAAGCACAACTCTACCAGGAAATTTCTTCTTCCCCCTTAAACTAGGTTAGATGTCTTGTGTTCTCAACAGCTCCCAGTATTTGTAGCATCCAAAACTTAAGAGGTAAGCTTCTCAAGGCAGAAGCATGACTCACTGTCTTGTTGACTCAGAGTCCCAGCACCTAACAAAAGATAGCCAGCCCTTGTGTGAGATCAGGGTTTCCCAATGCCAAACTAAGTGTCGGGTGAAATGGGAAAAAAAAATGTTAATTTTCTCCTAACGCTATATTTATTCAGTTTTTAAACTCTTAAGGTTATCCTTCCCATTTCTTTTAAAGTTTTTATTTACATTTTTGCATTAAATTATATAGAAATGATAATGAAACAGTGAATTGTTTCTAAATGTCTTCAGTTGGCCAAATAAGACCTAGAAGTGCCATTTTTAAAACTTGTCCCTGTGATTACTGAATTTACATCAAGTCTTTCTGATTATGAAGATGAGAGCATGAAGGTGCTGGGAGATACAAGTTATGAAGAGAGCAGCACTCTGACTTTTTAAAAAATTGTTGCTTCTATAGTGGGGAGCAGTACAGTGTCATAGAGCCAGTGACATACCATGCAAAGGGATAAGACACATGCGATATTTAATCTTTAGGCATCTCGGACACCTAGTGTTGCCATTTGTCCATTTTTTCAACAAATACCGAGCACCCACGGGTCCTGCTTGGGCTACACTGGTGAACAAAACAAAACTCCCTGCACCTGTGGAGCTTGCATTCTAGTGGGAAAGCCAGTGACACCTACCAGGTGGAGACTAGTCGTCCATAACATCCAGGTCCCACTACTAGGCTACATTTATTAATTTGAAGGTTGCTTCTGGCATCTTTGAGTCTTTCTCTGCCCTTTCTACCTTTAAATACTACCTTAAGGGTGGAGAAGTGCCTCACGAATCTGAAAACTGCAGCTGAAATGAAAGGCTCAGAGAGGCCACAGGGACTACCTCTGTGTACTTCATAACCAAAGACATTTCTGGCATTGAGGGCACAAAAGCTTTCATAGTATCCTCTCTTCTAGCAAGGGCCCTGGATGCAATGAAAGTAGTATTTGTTACCCATTCGAATTCCAGTGGGGCCAATTTAGAGCAAAAGGTTGAATAGATGCTGGGATCGACTGAGAGCTGCATTGTTAGGGAAACAGAAGCCATCCATACATTCCAGGTGAAAAGGACTTGATACAGTAATTAGGGGCTTAAGATCCACATTGGAAGAACTGGAGAGACAAAGGTCAGAGAAGCTCCCGCAGAAGGTAAAGATCTTTGCCAAAAGGTCAAAAGCTCTCAAGAGTTTGCCTGAAAGCCACTGCAATTCTAAAGAAGACCTCTGCAAATCTCTATTTTCCCACACATCCAACTGCAACCTCCTCCGAAGAATAGTTTCTGATTACTTTCCAAGTCCCATGTGAGTGCCCTACTTCCTTCAGCAACCCATGGGGGAAGGGATCATGGGAAATGTAGTTCTTTGGAATCTCTGCAATGAACAAGACCATAGAAGAGGATGGTATTGATGCCAGGTTGACCGCAGACAGTCCAGCTTATGTACCTCCTCTAGTCCTCCAAGACTTCCTCCTGGAGATCCCAAGCAAGCTCCCAATGTAGAAGTGCTATGCTCACTTCTACATTCCAGACACTGCCTGTGAACTTCAGCAGGCTGCCTTTGCAATGAAAAAGGGAGAGTGTAGAATAATTGTGCACATCTGGTCATATTTCAACTATGTTCTTGCCAAAGTTCCTTTGCTTAGGCTTTCTAAAATAGGTCTTTAAACCTTGTGGATAAAACTTTTAATAGGGAATTGGGTAGCACTGTGGCATCAACATTAAATGAGCCAAATAACAGGCAAGTCTTATGCTTTTGGAAGTTGAAGAGTCTCCACTATTCGAGTGCTTAGCTGGGAGAGGTTCAAGCTGCACAGGACTTGCCATGCTTTTTCATCTCTGGGCCCCAATCTAGATATTGTCATTTCCAAAGAAGAGTCTTCTGAACCATTCTTCCTCCATCTCTGTCAGCTAGGAGAATTTGTACACAGGCTAAAGGGCCTAAAGAGCAGGGGAACCCCAAGGATTTCACAGATTCCTCACAGGACCTTTTTCTTTTTCATTTCAAGCATTTCATCTTTGAAGACAAAAAATGCAGCCGACTGTTCAGTGGATTTCAGGGGCAGAGGAGCCTGGGGAGGAGGCAGTGCCAGAGTTGAGCAGAGCTAAGTAAAGTCACAGGAGCTGAGTCTTCTCTAAGCCTCAAGTTTTTTCATTTGTATATGGGGATGCTTAGTCCCTCCCCCAGAGTTAATGTGAGGATTAAATAACAATGCACAGTCAGTGCCACTTCACTGCCTAGTATAGAAAGTGCCTGATATATGTTAACATTATTTTAAAAAATATTTTAACTGATTTTTATAGAAAGAGGGAGAGGGAGAAAGAGAAACATCAATCAGCTGCCTCCTGCACACCCCCTACATGGGATCAGGACTGCAACCTGGGCATATGCCCTAATCAGGAATCAAACCAGCAACTTTTCTGTGCATGGGATGATGCCCAATCAACTGAGCCACACTGGCAAGGGCTATGTTAGCTTTTTATTATTATTTTCTAAGTCTTCTGGGTCTGTCTTTGAAAATGATGTGAGGTTTGTCTATGCTTTATCCTTCATAAGGAATTAAGAAGTGATGGAGATTCCCCGTCACAAAAAATGCCTGCCTATGAGATGGATGGTGCTCATCTTTTATCTATGGAGGGGTGAGGAGGGATAAGGAGGAGGAAAATCGAGAGAAGCCATGGGATGGTGAGATGCCATCTGGAGAGAAGCTGGAATTCATAGATGCTGACTCAGAGTGGAAACCAAGTGGATCTCTGGCGCCTGTGCCCCTTCCTCAGTCAGGCCCTCACAGGGAGGGCTCTGGCACATTTGTTTTCTGCTTTTGTGTTTTTACTTCTTTATTGAGATCTAACATAAAACAGTAATGTGCATGGCTTAAATAATGTTTATGAATGAATAAACCTGTGAAACCACCTCCAGATCAAAATAAAGAACATCTAAAACACACCAGAAGGCTCCCATGGGCCCCTTCCCAATCATCCCACCTCCCACCTAAGGGAACCACTCTTCTAATTTCTATTACCAGCTGTTAGTCTCACTGGTTCTGGAACTTTGTGTAAGTGGAACTTGTGCCTCACCTCTCTTGTTCAACTTTCATGTCTGTGACATTTGTCCATGTTGTCACATGTATTGGTGGTTCATACTTTTTTATTTGTTTTCTACTCACTATATGGTTATACTATAATTTATTAATTATACTGTTGATGTACAGTTCGGGCTATTATGAATAAAGCTGCTATGGATATCCTATATAATAAAGAGCTAATATGCAAATGGTTGTCACACACTCATACCATCACACCATAACGGCTTAGACACTCAACACTGAGGACAGAGGAATAGGGACCAGCCAGGCACAAATGAGCTCACAAGAGAGGAATGAGGACAAGCCAGGCTGTGGCCCCAGGAGAGGAGCAAGCCACCTGCCCCGTGGTCCCAGGCACCAGCACCTATGGCTGTGGTCTGGGAGAGGGACAAGCTGCCCACCCTGCGGCCCCGGGCACCTGCGGCTGCAGCCCAGACAAAGCCACCTGCCCACAGTCCCCTGCAGCTTCGGCTGGCCCAGACGAAGCCGGCCCAGGTTCTGGGTGCTTGTGACTGGCCGGAGGAGGGAATCCTGGATCCCATGTGTGGGGTGAGGCAGAGGTGGTTAGGGATGATCAGGCCAGCAGGGGAGCAGGTGGGGTCAATCAGGCCAGTAGAGGAGCAGTTAGGGGCAATCAGGCAGGCAGGCAGAGGGGTTAGGAGTGATCAGGCAGGCAGACAAGCGATTAGGAGCCAGAGGTCCCGGATTGCGAGAGGCAGTTGGACATCCCCCGAGGGGTCCAAGATTGGTGAGGGTGCAGGCCGGGCCGAGGGACCCTCCGCCCCTGTGCACAAATTTCATGCACTGGGCCTCTAGTTCTTATATATTGGTGGACAGTTCTGCGAAGTACAGGCGGAATTACTGAGTCACAGGGCAGGCAAATGTTTAACTTCAGTAGATTGTTTTACAAAGTGGCTTTACCCATTTTATTTCTACCTCCATTAGTTTTTGAACATATCACAGAGGAGCTTCTCCATTGGAGTATTCCCTATGGTCTTGCGGAAAAAGAGGAGCTCAATGCGTTCAGAAGTGATAAACCTCAAAGACGGGAGAAGCAGGAGCAATTTCCCAAACCTGAACAGGAGAGAGGACACGTCAGTTTGATTATCAGCGTCCAAGCACAAGACCTGGGGGCACTGCCCCCAGGAAAGGCGGAGGGGGAGCAGAGAGGAGAGGAGCCCAGGGTGAGTGAGGAGGAATTCTGAGGAAAAGTCCCACTCACTGGAGGGCTGCTGCCACCTACCCCTGACCCATGAGGCCCCTTTACAATATGTTTAGTTGAGGAGTGGGAAGAAAATGGTTTATTATGTGTAAAGACTATAAAGTAAGAAGTTCTTTATGTTAATAATATATACAATTACTGTGATAACTAAGACATATGCATTTGAAAAGAATAAAGTTCCCTTCTCTAAGCACCTAGGATGAGAGAGTAAACATTTGAGAAAATGTTCTGAAGTAGAATCATAATTTCTGTGGCTGAGATACTCACCCAGAAAACAAGTAACTGCAGTTTTAAATAAGAACTACAAGTGAGGGTCCCCAGTGCAGAGAAGGTGGATGGTGAAGCCCCAAGGGACGTATAGGGGGGGTCGACCTTCCTTGGGTAGGAGGCCTGACAGCCGGTGTCAATACTAATGTGAAGAAGACACTCCAAAGTGAGGCTACTCCCTGCTCAGCTTCCACCGTGGAGTCTATGGGGCGCCTCCCCCACCTCCCAATCATCTGTGAACTTGTTTTGCCAACCCCAGGGCTTGCTTTCTCCTGTGAGTGCGACTGAGTGGCACAGAGCAGTCATAATGCCCTCCCTGTGCCTTCCCCTCTTCCATGTTTCTGATCTAAGGAGGGTCACTGCAGGGATTGATCCACTAGTGCGAGGGTGGGGAACCTTTCTTCTGCCAAGGGCCATTTGGATATTTATAACATCACTGGCAGGCCATACAGAATTATCAACTTAAACATTAGCCTGCTGTTTGGTCGAACATTTAATTGACTCACTCCTAATGCCTTGGCAGGGCCAGACTAAATGAGTTTGCAGGCCTTATATGGCCGCGGGCCGGACGTTCTCCACCCCTGCACTAGTGGATCACAACCAGTCTTTACAAAAAAACCGAGAACAAATGTCAGAGTAAATTACACAAAGTGAGGGCAGGCAGGATTTGGTGAGCTTTGTTTCATCGTCAGTGTGTGTACTGCGTTATGATGGGAATTGTATTTCTTCCCGGGTGTTGCAGTTTTTAAACACTGCAGTGTGGTCACTGTGCCAGCGGCAGCTCTCAGAGAACTCACTCCCAGCACTCAGTTCTGCCCGAGTTACACTGCATCAGACATGACATGGGAAATCTTAACCAGAATTTTGAAATGTGAGACAAAACCAATATGCCCAGATATTTCTGGAAGCTGATTCCAATAGAAACTTGGCCCAGGAGGCCTCTGCCGTCTGCTGTGTGATGGTCACCCTTAGGCTGCTGGGCACACACGCTGCAGAAATCTTTCTGTGCAATGTGGTGAGGCCGGGTATACTTTGACTCTCCTTCAAGGGAAATGACCTCTTCTTGTGACCATTTTTCAGATTAGGGTTGATTCCAGGGTGTCAATGCTAGCTTACTTCTTCAGAGAGAACTACTGGGAACCCCAAGAGAATGCAGATAATATGGTCTAAAATAGCCAATAGATTCCTGGAGGCCAAGTGCTCCAACTTTGCAGTATCCAAAGTTGGTGCTGGGACAGGCTGGGTGCCCCCTCCCCCCGCCACACTCGGAGCCTGCGGCTACTGTCCCCCAAACCCAGCCGGGCCAGGCTGTTGTCCAAGCACATGGCTTATGCAAGGACATCCCCAGGAGATGTCCTTCCATACCTGCATCAGACCTTGTCATGCTGCCTCAAAACTATCTTTGCCTCCCAACTTTCCCTTCTATTTCATGACTACCGCTTCTCACAATAGCTCCTCTTCCCTTACATCATTCAAGTGCCAGGTCTGACCCATTCTAGCTTCTAGACCAGTGGTTTTCAACCTTCCTAACACCGCGACCCTTTAATACAGCTCCTCATGTTGTGGTGACCCCCAACCATAAAATTATTTTCGTTGCTACTTCATAACTGTAATGTTGCTACTGTTATGAATTGTAATGTAAATATCTGATATGCAGGGTGGTCTTAGGCGACCCCTGTGAAAGGCTCATTCGACTCCCAAAGGGGTCGCGACCGACAGGTTGAGAACCGCTGTTCTAGAGGCTCTCTCATCTGCCATCAGACTCCATGACTTCCCTGGATGATGGCAGCATCCTCTGCATTCGCTGCCACGTTAGTCTGCACCAAGTCAGATATGGCCTTGGCTGGCATCCAAAGTCCTGAACAGGCTGGTCCAGAGTGCTGTTCTAGCCTAGTCTCCCTCCTTCTCACTGGCAGCAATCTGTTTCACCTTCCAAACAGGGCTCTTGTCCTAAGATCACAGCCGAGTTTGTCTCTCTCCCTTGGTAAATTATGATTTCTCTTTCTAGGCGCTAGCCTGCCTTCCAAGCCCAGCCTTGCCTCCACAGAGTCCCTGCCAGTTCTGCCGTACACCCCACCCTCAATGGGTCTGTGCCTCCTTCAGATCCATACAAACCCCAACACCTGACCAGGGCAGTTCTCGTCTTCAGTGCAGTCACTGCCGGGCATTCCTGGGAGGCTGCAACTTTGTCTTACACACATTTTGGTCCCCACCTTCAGGGCCTGGCACTGTGCCTGGCACGCAGTAGATGTTGGATATGTTGAACTGAGACCCGGGTCCTGTCTAAGTGGTACAGCCCTGAGGTGGAGCCAGACAGATGGGCAGGGGGTGAAGAGGTGAAGGGGTAGAGGTGCAGGGAGGCATGTGCTCAGGTCACCTCACAGGCTGGCTGGGGTGGTGGGCCTTGCTGTGCTGGCTCAGCATCACTTGGGACTGGTCCTGCAAGGCCTCCACATGCTCAGGATCCTTCAGGCCCCGCGTTTCTGGAGAGGAGCAGCAGCAGTGAGCTCCTCTCCCGCCTGCCCTGCCCCTCACAGGCAGCCAGGGCCCAGGAAGGTGTGCTCCACCTGCACTCTCTCCTCCTGCCCCCAGGGAAGAAGTCTGCAAACATCTGGGTCTATGTGGGTTGATAGAGGGAAAGTGAGAGCCAGAAGAAAGTCACTGGGATTCCCATTCTTCGTTCCCAACCAGGTCTCTGGTTGGACAAAGACCCAGCTACCTGGTTTGAAGAGGACCAGGGCCTTCATGCAGGCAAACTCCGTGGGGTCCACTGCCAGCACCCGGAACCGTGAGATGGTTTCCTGCAGGAAGCGCATCTCCGCACTGGCCAGCGCCAGCCGGCCCTGAGAGCTGCCAGCAGCCGAGGCCTCGGGTGGGGCTAGCAGTGGGCAGCTGTCCAGAGGCAGAGACCACTGGATGGCTCCAAGGAGGAAGAGTTCGCTCCAGGCCTCTTCCAGCAGGATCACCTGTGCTCAGAGAGGGAGGGCGTGTGCTGGCTGGGACAGCCGCTCAGACCAGCCTGCAGACCAGTGCCTTCGGGAGGGAAGGACTGGTCCTGGGTAGCTCCTGACCTCCTGACTCATCCAGGGGCCTGGCTGCCTGGGTTCCATCCAGAGTCACACCTGGAACATTGTGGAGAGCTTGGAGCTGTGGGAAGGTAGCCCTGGGGACACTGCCCACGGGCACCCCACGCTGAGTGAACTTGGGAGACGCAGCCTCGGTTCTGGCCTAAATCCTGGCTCAGGGCTTAGACCCTCAGTGTGCCCCTCAGATTTATCATGACAGGTTGGTCTGCTTGCCCACGAGAAGTCCAGGGAGCGTCTTGGTTGGGCTGAAGCTCAAGCTCTGAAGTCAGAGGCCTTTGTGCTCCAGGGGAGCCCAGCACCATTTGCTCACGTTGGTCAGGGTGTGCAGACCACCCTGTGACACAGTGTCTGTAGGGCCTGAGGTTTTGTCTAGGAGGAAAGAAGACCAGGGGGGCGTGGTATTGCCTTCAAATCCCTGGTTCCTGTGTGTCCCTGGCCATCATGGTCCCCTGGAGGCTCACTCGCCACAATCTCTGCCCAGAGACGTGAGCCACCCCAACAGTCACAGCCCTGAGACTGCGCCCTGATCACCCTTGCCTCACAGGCACGTGTGTCCCCAGCCATCACCTCCCCAAGCCACATGCACCTCCAGTCATCACCTGCACAAAGAGGTATGTGCCCCAATCAGCTGACTCCTGGGGGCACCCGACGGGGTACCTGATCCCGGAAGGGTAGGTTGGAGAACACAGGCAGGCTCTTGGCCCACTTGACAGCCATGAAGAGCAGGCGGGCGGACGTCTCATGGATGCTGTCCACACCACAGGGTGAGGAGGAGGAATGCGGGGATGAGGGGAACTCGGGGTCATTGCTGGTGACATCAATGTTCTCATCAGCTGTTGGGGGGGTTGTGACATAAGCCACTGCTCCTCAGCAGGAGGCAGGGGTGCTCTGGGGCCCGGGTGTGGGGATATAGGCCATCCTCCCGCTTACCATCCTCTGGCTCCAGCTTCGCACAGGTTTCGGCCGTTATGAGGCTGGCCATGAACTGGTGATGCCCTGGAGGTGTGATGGCCCCAGGCCCCAGGGCTCTGGCTGCAGAAGCAGGTGTGGGGCCCCGTGGGCTGGGCCCTGTGGGGGCCAGGGAAGCCCCCAGGGGCTCCGTCCAGGCCTCCCTGCCTGACTCCGCCCTGTCCAGGCGGATCTGCGCTGCGCTTCGTGGCTGGCGCTCATTCTGCACAGCTGGGGAGGCAGGAAGGGTCAGGACACGCAGCAGCCGTGGGCCCCAGCTCTGCTGTTATGCCTCTCCGGTTGACTCCCCCACTCACCATCCTGGTTCATGCCCTCCTGCAAGCACTTCTTCAGCCGACAGGCCTGGCACTGGTTCCGGTGGGCCTTGTCCACGGGGCACATCCCTGCTCCCACCTGGCACCTGAGGCAGAGGGGAGCTCCAGGGATCAGTATCCTTCCTGAACTCCCCTCCCCCTCGCAGGGACCCTTTGGAGCAGGGCTCTCCCGGCAGGGGTCCAGCCCTCCCTCACCTGTAGATGAGCTTCCGTCTCACGCTCCTCTTGAAGAAGCCGCTGCAGCCATTGCAAGCATAGATGCCATAGTGCTTCCCACTGCTGCTGTCTCCGCACACGCGGCACTGGAGCGAGGGGCCCACGCCTGAGGGGCAGGGGCAGGGGCTGGGTGAGTGCACACCCTCTCCCACCTCTTTAGGGACCCGTCTCTACTTCTCATTCCCTTTCCCATTTTGAAAAGTATCTCCCCTATTACACACACCCCCAACCCACCACACCCACCCAACTCCTGTCCTCCCACCGCCATCTATGGCCAATTTTCAACTAGTGTATACTGTCTGCCTCCACACCCCACCTGCCACCCCTCTCTGTGCAGGTGGCTTCAGGCTCCATTAGCCCACAGAACATTCTTGACACCACCACTGGGACCTCTGCCCACAAACTCGAAGGGTGGGCTCTCTCTTCTTTCCTTCCTATCAGCTCAATTGTCCTGACCTGGCTCTGCTGACCCCCATGCTTCTGGGATCTGGGTTCGCCAGCAGGTTCCCTCACACCTGCTCACAGCCTGTGGGGCTGGGCCTGAGTCACTCTGGCCCCTTTCATGGTGCAAACTTCGCTCCCCAAGGGCCGAGGCCTTACCTCCAGGAAAGCCATACCTGTCTGCTCCTCCCCCAGGCCCCATCTGCCTGGAGATTCTTTCCTGGAAGCAGCCACCGCAGCTGCAGCCATGTGGAAGCTGGAGGGAGCTGCTATCCAAGTTCTGGAAGGTCCCAGGGCAGCCTCCACCTTCCTGCCTGAGGGAGGCCTCTTGGGACACTGAGCCGGCCAGCCTCCACCTCCCTCTCTACTCTGCCCCTCTGTCTGTGCCCCTGTCTCTCTTCTATCTACTTCCTTTCCTTGGCCCTGGTCACCTCCTTCTGTCTCTGTCTCTCTCCCGTCTCTCCTCTCTGTCCTCTACTCGGTCCCCTCTGTCCAACTCAGGAGCTGCTCCAGCTTCCTCTCACAGCAGGGGTCTGGGTTCTGAGGAGCTCTCTCCCAGGGCAGCTCTGGGTGAAGCTGGTGATCCCCTTAATCTTTCCTGTCTCCACCAGGGATCGGCCGGCCACACCTGCAGCATTACCAAGGCGCCTAGGGCTGGTCAGCCCTGCTTCCGCCACCCTGCCCGCAGCAGCCAGTGCCCCATGCTCTCAAGCTGTTTGCCATCCAATACCTCCAGGACTTGACTCTTTTTGAGGTGCCCGGATGCTTCCTGCACAAGTATGTGTGGCCCTGTGTTCGCTGGGTAGGTCCAGCTCTCCCCCTGCCTCCCCGCCTCCCCCAGCCCCGTGTTTCCCCCCTTCTCTTGTTAAGGGACTGCCCTGCCGAGGACGCAGAATTCCAGGGTCCTGGCCTCCCTGGAAGGCTCCCACTCCCCAGAACCCAGAACCGCAGCATGGAGGCGGTGCCCACACACAGGGGAGTGGGCCCGTGGAGGCTCTGAGGCTGGCTCGGAGGCGGGAGGCCTGTGGTGCAATGTGGAGGGTCACCTTCAGGCCTGCAAGGCAGCAGAAGAGGAGATGGTAGGTGTGTTTCTTACCCACCTGGAGAGCTAGGCCCACAGAGGGAGACGGACACAGCCCCGAGCCTGGCTACGGACTCATGGGCGGCCGCACCTTCTTTCTCTGGCTTGGCCTCCGTGCGGGCCCCTCAGCTGGCCCCAGACCCAGGCTTCCCCGCCTGAGCCCAGTGATGCTTCTGAGGGGAGGAGGCAGGAGGAGTCTGTCTCCTTGGACCAAGCGCCAGAGCCCAGAGGGCGGGTGGAGAGAGCAGAAACAGGCCCGAGTTCAAGTCTCTGCTCCCTCACAGGACAGCCATGTGTCCCTGAGCAAGTGACTTAACCTTCTAAGCTCCAGGTTCCTCATCTGCGAAAGGGGGGACAAAAGTACCTGTCTTGTATGTAGGAAGGGACACTAAGTAAAATCATTCTTGAAGCGTTTCAGTGCTTGGTACTTCCTAATAGGACAATAAATGTGGATGCTGTTGTCATTGTTGTCAGGGTTACTGAGGAGATCAGAGAGCAATCCTCAGGAAATAGCCTTTCCTTTCCCTGCCTCCCTCCGCTCCCCCCCACTCCCACCCCACGCCCAGGGAGCAGAAAGCCCCATGTTGGTCTGGAGGGGCCACCCGTCCTCAGCAGACCTGAGCTCACCTCTAGGGTGAGCTTGGAGAAGGGGTTGACCCAGCCTTAAAGCCCAAGGAGCAGGGGGACAGAGTGAAGCTTCTGGGAGGACAGACGGGGTCGGGCAGGGCCCTGTGTAAGTGGCTTTAACCCTCGTTGTGACAGAGAAGCACTACTGGGGATTTGGAAAGTCAGCTCGAGGGACTTTGTGTGTAATCTGCCCTCTGGGGCCTCAGAGGATTGAGGCCATGGACTGAGGCCTCTCACCTGACCCTCTGCCTCGTCCCCACTGCGCACCCCTGTCCTCCCAGGCAGCCCCTCAGGGCCTCCACGGCAAGGCCTCCAGCTCCACCTCCCTCCAAGGCCAGGCCAGGGCTTCTCTCTTGAACTTGGTTGACCAGTCCTTCCTTTCCAAAGCTCTTCTGGAGCTCACCGTCGTCCTGCCTGCTCTGAACTTGTCATCACCTCAGTGAGCCCTAGCGTGGGCCCCAGCAGGCCTTTCACCCCCTTCTCGGGCCATCTTGTACACAGTCACAGCTTCCATGGTCACCTCCTAGCACACTCCTGCCTGGGGCTCTGCCCCCACCTTCCAGCCACAGATCCACCCAACATGCCCTCCACGTGTCTGCACAGAGATGGGCACTGAGCCCAGGGCGGAGGGACCGCCTGAAGCTTGGATGTGCCGGGAGGGATGCCCTGAGGCTACCCGAGGGCCCTCGTCCTGGAGGTCGGGGCCCAGGAAGACCTGCTGGCAAAGGAGCTGAGAGGGAGCATCAGGACAGCGCGGCCACGGGAAGACGGAGGGGAGGCCTCAAGGGTGGCCGGCCAGGTCAAGTGTCCTACGCGGCCATTGGCATCACTAGTAAAAGGTGGGAGAGCACTCCAGAGAGTTTTTATACAAATACCTGCAATATCATATTTGAAACTCACAGCAGCCCTCTAAAGAGGTTACCCTCATCAGAGAGGTTGAGCAATTGGCTTCAGGCCACACAGCTACTGAGGGGTGGGGAGATGCGGGTGGAGACAGGCTTCACACCTGCGTCTGATTCCCACGTTCCTGCTTTCCACCGAGGCGCTCTCCAAGGAGACTGCCATCTCTGGCCTGGACAGCAAGAGGGGAACGGTGCCCTTGGCGAGCGGTTCTGAGGGAGGGTAGACCCTCCGGCCCAGGTGGCGGGAGGGACTGGAAGCAGAGACCCACTGAGGAAGGAAGAAGACAGGGCTAAGGGCTTTGTAGGAAGGGGGGCATTAAGGAGACGTTTTTCTATCAAGGGAGATATTTTTAAACAATATTTAAGGAGTTCCCTTTAAAACTGGGGGACACAAAGGAAAAGGAGTCAAAGAGATCGAGGATAAAGCTGGCGGTGAATCGACTGCCTGCTACCTGAGCAAGCCCGAGGGTGGCAGAGTACCAGCAGGGGCCGGCTGTGGCCAGGGCAGGGGCCACCTGGAAGGAAGCATAGAGCCCAGGACGGTTCAGTATCTTTCTGGCTGTGTGAGCTTGGGCAAGTTATTCTGCCTCTCTGTGCTTCGGTTTCATCATCTCTAAACTGGGTGGTCTAGTGCTGGGATTAAGCATTAGCCCAGCCCCAGGTGAGAGGGAGGAGGCTGGTGGAAGCAGGCCAGAGGGCAGAGGTTGGGGGTGACCGCTGTGGCGAAAGGGACTCAGGGAGAGACTTCAGAGCAAGCTCTGAGGCCCAGATGAGGTTAAAGATGGTGCCTTTACAGGTGGACAGTGTGGTAAGGTATCGGATTTTCCCTGAAGCCCTCCACAGGGAGGCAAATCCTGGGAGAAGGTAGATACCAGGACTGCTCCCTGGCTCAGTCCTTCCCAGTACACGCATGGGAAGGGCCCGAGGGAAGGAGCGGAAGGCTTCCGGGAAGGTCCTCCAGGCAGGGCCTGGCAGCCTTTTCTCTGCTGCTCCCACCCTCCAGCCTGTTTAGCGTTCGCCTCCTCCAGACGCCAGCCCTGCCTGGTCCACCTGCTCCTCTTGCAGGGGCCGCTTCAGGGCCAGGTCCCGTCCTTAGTACTGAACCTCACTCCAGGTCAACTTTCTCTCCTCAGTCCAGATGAACAGTCCAGGGACCAGGTTCAGAGCTCAGGTCACCTTGATATGTGGGTCACAAGGCACATAATGGACAGGAATCTGTTTTTAGCTTGTCTGTATTCTCTTGCTGTTCTGTAGTGGACATGTATTACCTTAGAAGGCAAAAAATAAATCCATTGAAAATATACCCGGGGCTTGCCCTGCCCTGGCTTCCTCTGTTTATTTTGACTTTATTCTGTCACTCCCTCAACTCATTGTGATCCCTGCTGAGGTCCTCTCAGCCCCTGGCCCTCGGTTCTTTGCCAGGTCAGGCTCAGCCAGAGCCGTGACTGTGCAGCCGGAAAGGATGACAGCCAGCAGGACTGGGGCAGGGGAGGGTTACCGATCTGTGACCACCAGCTGCCAGGGCAGCTGCCAAAGGATTACTCAACCCAAAGCTTTGAATCTGCTGACAAAGCTGCCAGAGGCCACCTTATCACTAATACTATTATTCCCCCAGAGGACATGTCAGCAACTTCCTTCTGACTCCCTGGAGGTCTGGGGCAGGTGGTAAGGGTGGCGCTGGGCGCTGGGGGCTGAGATGGGAGGAACAGAAGATGCATGATAAGGCTGCAGGACGGACTTCCTTCTGGACACTTAAGACCCTGGAAGGTAAAGTCTGCCCAGCCTGTCTTGGGCCTGTCACACCCTGGATTACAGGCCCCAGGCTGAGAGATGACCTGGGTTCTGCCAAGGAAGGAGGGAGAGGTTTCCGCAGTGACCCCGGCAGGCTGGCTGGGCTGGTGGCCACGGTGCCCATCCCAGCGGCTGTGGGCTCCTGGTGTGGGGCAAGCCTCATTCACAGCATTTGGTCCTGCAAACGCATCTCCTGGGATTCCTTACCCCACCCGACCCCACCAAGGGTCTTCACTATCTCTGAGGAAGGTGGTGAGCTTGGGTGGAGGAGCTCATCAGGACCCAGCAATTCCACCTCCAGGAAACGGTCCCGCAAACTCTCACACAGGTGTAATCAGAAGGCTGCTCCCTGCAGCAATTTAGGAAAACACCTGTTTTTAGGCAAGTGGCTAAGTCACGCATGCACCAGCCCTGCGGTGGGTGCTGTGCAGCATTGCATGTGGTGCTGTTTCTGTATTCATTCACGTGGAAATAGGCCCGCAGTTTCCACTTCAAAGCCAGACAACAAAACAGCATGGACAGGGTGGGGGAGGCCATGGGGGATGAGGATATATATGTAATACCTTAATTAATAAAGGAAAAAAACCAGCATGGACAGCGTGATTTCATGTGTCTCGGGGATTTCTGACCACAGATCATGGGGCTCCGTCCTCCTTGGCAGGGCCTAAATGATCCAATAGTTTCTTTTTCTAGAGCAGCGAGTTGAAGAAGGTTCAGGACACCAGCAGGAACATTTCTCAACAGTCTCTTTACTTTCTTTTCAAGGTAACATTTAGAAACAATCAGATGTCCCCACAAAGTTTTCCCAGCCCTTGGCTAGTGCAGTTCTTCTGGAATAGTGTTAAAGGTCTGAGCGGGCCTGCCGAGGCTCCCAGCCCACCCCGCCCGCACAGTCTGTCCAGCACATCTGACCTGCTCCACGTTGGGGGTGACCCCCTATCTCCTTTGTGACCAGATGACTAGTGAACAGTTTCTGTTTTACGTTCTCCTTCCTCTCAGGGCTCTGACAGGCAGCGTTTCCATTCTCCAGCAGAGCTATTATAAGGACGCCACCAGCAGAAATTGTCACCACAAACAGAAATGTTTGTGTTTTGTTTGAATGTTTAATAATGAAATGTGTTACAGTTATAATCAGGATAAAATAAAGCTCTTTCCTTTTTAAAATTTATTGATTGAATTTAAAGAGAGAGGCCCTGGCTGG